GGATTGAAAATCAAAATGTGGTAAGAAACCTGCAATGAACACACTGAAGTCAGAGTCGGGCCTCCCCTATCCTGCAGCTCCCTCCCCACTTCCCTCCGCTTCCCCGACAGAGTGCTCCAGGAGCCCACAGGCCCTGGAGAAATCGGTGAAGCTGTGGTAGGATGAGGCACAGAAGGTGCTGGAACTAGTTCATTCTGACTTGTGAGAACCAATTATTGCATTTGCAGGAATTCCGCCAACTGGTTGTTAAACATAACCATTATAAAAATTAAATTATATCAATGTACAATAAGTAAATTATATTAAAATCAATGGGAAGAAATACACAAAACTCATCATTTCCTAGTAACTTGTCTACCTTTTATTTCTACCTATGCCCTCCCAATATTTACCTTTATTGCACCTGCAGGGTGGGATTATAATGGTGGATGCATCTCTTCCCCACTCCACACTGAATGAAGTCATGCTGTTAGCTTAAAACCAGCCACGGTGAGAAGATCTGCACCCTGGACATCAGCAAATGCTACAAATTAGGGCTTTTTATTTTTCAGAGAACTAGTTGTTGACTATTTACTAGCACACCACTGGGTGGCAGGGAAAGTCAAATGCCATCACCAGATTTCCCAGCGAAGAATGAAGTTCTGGAAACGCTGGAATGCAATGGGATGGTCAAGTGTATATTAAAACAACTACTAAGTTACGAGTATAGATCCGTTTTACTTATTCTGTCACAAATGTAAAAGTCGTTATTTTGTATGAAGATAGAAAATATAGAACAAAGAGAAGAGATGGGAGTCACCAGCATCTCAGCGTTAACGGCTTTCCCACAGCGGTATCCTGTTGACTACTGAGCCATTGGTCATAATCAGTCAATTTGCCAAGTCCAGAGTGAACGCAGGTTAGACAGGAGCACCTTGGGATCAATCCTAAAATCAACCTACTACCCAACCAAACCAGGAGTACTAACATCTTGATATTTCCTCTGTCGTATTTCTCCAATATCCTCCAGCTGTGCAATGATACAGATGTAAACTTTCAAAAGGAAAACAATGATAAAAATCAGTGTGGAGTTCATCTGTGTGTGTGTGTGCGAGGTGATTTCTGAAAATGAGGGAACTACACAGAACGCCAATTAAAAACAGGCACTACAAGGGGCGCCTGGGTGGCTCAGGCAGTTGGGCTTCTGACTCTTGATTTCAGCTCAGGTCTTGATCTCAGGGTGGTGAGTTTCAGCCCCATGTTAGGCTCCACACCCTCTACTTAGAAAAAGAAAAAAGAAAAGAAAGGGAAAAAAAATAGGCACTACAAAATAATTAGGCACATTTTGCCAACTAACACATATCAGCCATGCCTTTTGGAAACATACTCTTATCCTTCAATTTCTCTCTTTATTAAACTCAGCAGTTAAGTACATCTGTGTAAAGCTACAGTTGACCAGATAGATAAAAGATAGATAGATGATAGATAGATAGATAGATAGATATTTTCCTGGCATATAAAATATTTTTGCTCATTTTATCCCAGTAGAGTCCAAACTCCTGAGGATCATCCTCCTCTTTCTTAAAAACTAACAACTTAAAAACACTGGACCCATTAGTTCATGTACGTATGTGCCTTATAAGGGCCGGGCCTATGAGAAAGAAACTTCCTGTCTATATGATGTATTTTAAAGAGTACCAGGAAAACCCCTTTACTGCCCAAATACACCCTCACTTCACTAAAGCACAGGATACATGTTTAAAAAATTTTTTAAGATTTTATTTATTTATTTGAGAGAGAGAGTAAGCAAGAGAGAGAGCACGAGCAGGGGGAGAGACAGAGGCAGAGGGAGAAGCAGGGTCCCTGCTCAGCGGGAAGCCTGCTTCTCCCTCTGATCCTCCCCCATCTTGTGCTCTCTCTCTCTCTCATTAAAAAAAAAATCTTTAGATTCTTGAATTCTCTTCTGATTTCTCAAAATTTGTAGTTAATGACCCTACCCTAACTTTAATTTCCCAAGTGGCTATCATTTATAAGAGGTACTTCCTTCCATAAACTAAGCTCACTTCCTGCCCTACCTTTCAGAAGGAATGTAAACTCAAGTTTCTGATGAAATTGACCTTTATTTTTAAAGATTGAGGGTAGGTGTCCTTTCCTTAATAATGTCATCTCTATCATTTCATTCCCTATTAAGAAAAAGGAAACAATTTTCTGGGGATTTTTTTATGTCACATTTATTCTGAATACATGTAATTCAACAAGGAATAATCTGACTTACCTTTGAACTCCTTATGAAGAAAGGGATGCATAAGTAAAAAATGAGCAAGACCACAAGGGCAATAACTGGCCTACCTAAGATAAGAACTTCTGGTCACTTTATGAGAATACCTTTGCTTACAATGAACATTACAAATATAAATACATCACTGCTAGGAGTGTAAAATAATAAAGGCACTTTGGAAAGCAGTTCCTCAGTTCCTTAAGTGAAACGTACACTTACCATAGGACCCAACAATTTCACTCCTAGGTACCTACCCAAGAGAAATGAAAACACATGTCTGTCCAAAGACTTGTTCTCAGCAGCATTATTCATGAGAAGCAAAAAGCTGGAAACACTCCAAAAGTCCATCAGCTGGTGAATGGGTAAGCAGGTTGTGGTACATCCATTCAATGTGCCAATAAAAAGGAGAGGACTGCTAATTCATTCCACAACACAAATGAGCCTCAAAAGCATGATGTTAAGTCAAAGGAACCAAACACTTAAGACTATGTATTGTGTGATTCCATTGATATGAAATTTATAGAAGGGGTAAAAGTACAGAGACAGAACATATATCAGTGGTTGCTGCAGCTGAGGCGGGAGTGGGTACCATCTGCAAATGGGCGTGAGAGAAACTGGCGGGATGATGGCAATGTTCTAAACTAAAGCTGGACTGTGGTGATGTTGTACCCCTGTGTAAATTTACTTACACTTGTCTAGATGCCACTTAAAGTGGGTGAATTTTATGCCATGTAAATTATGCCTCAATAAAGCTGCTTGTTAAAAGAAAAACATAGTAGCAGGAAAAATTAAAGAAAATCTTTGACTATTTTCCTTTACAAAAAGAAAGATGGGAAGGATAAACCAGAAAACCATGAAGCTGGTTACCTGTAAGGGGAGAGTGGCAGTAAGGATTTGTGGCGGGGGCGGGGGAGGGCCATTTGTACGAATATAAAATGGAGAGCAAACTGAAACACAGCAGCCCATTTAGATTTCATATGAATAGTATAACAACACAGAAGGAAAATAGAAAAAAAGAAGAACTAATCTGAGTAACGTATGACTATTTTACTATGTAACACCTTCAGTTTGTGATGGAGTAATAGGGCACAGAGGAAATTACAAATAAATCTTGTCCTCTTTTCAGTAGGTTTGTTTTGTATAGAGGCAAGGATGAAGCAATTCTGAAATTATTTTAGATTCACTATACAATTTTGAGGAAATAAGTAAATGTATTTTGGGGGGGGACCCAAAGTTCTAACTGAAAAAGCCACATGCAGGGCGCCTGGGTGGCTCAGTCGGTTAAGCATCTGCCTTCGGCTCAGGTCATGATCCCAGGGTCCTGGGATGGAGTCCCGCATTGGGCTCCCTGCTCAATGGAAAGCCTGCTTCTCCCTCTCCCTCTGCCTGCCTCTCTGCCTACTTGTGCTCTCTCTCTCTCTCTCTGTCAAATGAATAAATAAATAAATAATCTTTAAAAAAAAAAAGCCACATGCAAATATAGAATAGGAGAAGGCAAGAAGAAACCTGTGATGATGAATGCAATTGAAATTATGAATTCATATACATATGAAATATGTATATGTCCCCATGTATGTGTATTGATCAATGTACACACATAGATGTCTATGTATATTTGTATGTGTTCATGTACATGTATAGATATCCATTGATTTTCTTGTTCATCCAGCTGAAAAGTATAAGAAGCAAAGACTCCCCGGGAATAATGAGCATACTTCGTACCCAGATCTTGGTTTCTAATACCTTCTCTCATTAAAAGGAACCAAGGCTCTTCCTAGAAATGGCTAAATTCAGGACTGGGGCAGGTAGATACAAGAAAAGCCTGAAAATCTTTTTATGCCAAATATTAAGGAAGTGCTCAACATGATGAGGTGGGGGGTGTCACCTATCACTGGGATGCAGGAGCCAGCTTGTAGGGGCTCCACTGGCCAAATCCAGGACAACCTGAGCAGGAAGATAATAAATACAAGAGTGAATTATAAATTACTGAAAACAGGTATTTGTGAGTCCATACCTATGATCAATATATAAACAACTGGGAAGTTCCTGCTTACAATCAAATACTAAGTGACAAATGATCAATGAGGACAGAGTAGTAGAGCTGAAAAAAAAAAACACAAACCATTTTGCAACCATCATAGGAAAGACCCATTCGGCAGAAATCAATAGATGCTGGACCCAGATGGAAATTTTGATGAGGAGCAGGATGTGTTTGCATTGATTTAAATCATCTCCCCACAGATTGCATATATATACATATATATACACACACACACACATATATATATATGAGACAGAGATGAAGTAAGTAGATAAAATGTTACTAGTAGATAAATCTGGGTAAGCAGTATAGAGATATTCTTGGTAATACTCTTACTCATGCAATTTTTCTATATTTGAAATAATTTTCAGATGAAAAGTTGAAAAATTGAAGGAAAAATCTGGAAGTTGTCCTTTACCCCAACCCCTCTTCCCAGGAGCAGGCCAATGTTAACAGTTTTGTATGTGTATTTCTAGACCCATTCCTTTTTCTTTTTCTCTCTTTTTTTTTTTAAGATTTTATTTTTAAATAATCTCTACACTCAACCTGGGGCTCCAACTTAAAATCCTGATATCAAGAGTTTCATGCTCTACCAACTGAGCCAGGACCCATTTCTATGCATTTTTTTTTTTACCTGTGGTATAACATACATAACATAAAATTTACTATGTTAACTATTTTTAAGTGCACTGCATTCAGTACTAAAGACTTGAATGCTTCTAAATTTGCACATCATCCTTGGGCAGGGACCATGCCAATCTGCCCCTGTGTCGTTCCAACTCTATGTGCTGCCAAACCAAGCACTCTATGTGTCTTTAAATGTACAGGCCCGAACGTTATAAATGTAAGCATACCGTACAAAGGAAGAAAAAGAAAAAAGATAAAGGTGAAAGAGATGGCTTTTCCTAGTAAAACAAAGAATGTGTGACTAGTAGACTGCAGGAATTTTAAAGGAACTTTTCAGGCAGGAGAAAAAAAAAACTATAACAGATGGAAATTTTATTCCACACAAAGGAATAAAGAACACCAGGGAGAGTAAATATGTGTATAAAAACAAAAACATTCTTTCTCCTACTTAATTTCTTTAGAAGATATGTGACTATTTAAAGCAAACGTAATAAAGTGTGTGGGGTTTATAACATATGCACAAGCAAAATGTATGACAACAATTTCACCAAGGATCAGAGGAGGAAAATGAAAGTATACTGTTTTAAGTGTACTATTCTTACATGTCACATGAAATGATACAAGATTATTTAAAGGGAGACCATGCGGGCGCCTGGCTGGCTCAGTCAGTGGAACATGTGATTCTTGATCTCAGGGTTGTAAGTCTGAGCCCTATCGCTGAGTGTAGAGATTACTTAAAAATAAAATCTGTTTAAAAAATAAAGGTAAACTATGATTGCTTATGATTTGTTAGATACTGTAAATCCTAGAGCAGCCACTAAAAACAATTTTTAAAGGAGATATAGCTAGTAAGCCAATAGTGGAGGTAAAATGGAATCATGAAAAGATCAGATTCCTACAAATGAATAAAGAAACCAAGAGGGGTGCCTGGGTGGCTCAGTCTGTTAAGCATCCGACTCTTGGTTTCGGTTTAGGTCACGATCTCAGGGTTCTGAGATCAAGCCCCACGTCAGGCTCCCTACTCAGCAGAGAGTCTGCTTCCCCTCTCTCTCTCCCTCTGCATCTCCCCCTGTGCATGCACTCTCTCTCTCTAAAATAAATAAATCAATCTTCAAAAAAAATTAAGAAACAAAGAAAAAAGAGAACAAAGAGTATATTGGGATCAATGGAAAACAAATACTAAAATGCCAGTCGTATCAATAATTGCAGTGAATGTAAGTAATCTAAACACTCCATTATTATATATATTACAAATCATTATATTGTACCCCTAGAACTAATACAATTTATATATCAAGTATAAATCAATTTTTAAAAACCCACTCCATTAAAAAACAAAGATCGTCAGATTGGATGAGAAAAAAGCAAGATATGCTATCTACAAGAAAATATATGCTGTCTGCAAAAAGCCAACTTTAACTATAAAGACATGGGCAGATTAAAAATAAAAGGACAAAAAAATTATCAAAAAAATTTACAAAAAAAAGAGTAAAAGGATAGATAGATATATATTCCATCCCAGCAGTAGGCAGAAGAAATGAAATTGGCCACATTAATATTAGACAAAGTAGATTTCAGTCCATAGGACCATAATAATAAAGAACCAATTCATCAAGAAACATTACAGTGTTACAGAGTTTCAAAATACATGAGGCAAAAACTGATAGAAGTAGAAGAAAAAATACACAAAATTGTAAGTGTAGATTTCAACAGTCCTCTCCTAATAATTGTTAAAATATGTGGGCAGAAAATCAGTAAGAATACAGAAGACTTGAATAACAGATTAACCAAATTAAATTAATTGGCACTTATAAAACACCCCACCTAACAACAGAAGAATAAACACCATTTTCAAGTGTACATAGACCATTTATCAAATTAGGCCATATTTGAGGCCATAAAACAAGTCTCAATAAATTTTAAAGGATTGAAATCATCCCTTCATAGTATATTCTCTGACCACAAAAGAATTAACTAGAAATCAATAATAGAAAGATATGTGCAAACACTCCGATGTTCGCAAATTAAACAACATACTTCTAAATAACACATAGGTCAAAAAAGAAATCATAAGTGAAATCAGAAAATATTTTTAACTGAATGAAAACAAAAGCAGCACCTATAAAAGTAGGATGCACCTAAAGCAGCGCTATAAAAGAAATTTATTACTTTCAGTGCTTATGTTGGAAAGCAAACAGTTTTTTTTTAAAAGATTTTATTTATTTATTTGAGAGAGAGGGAGAGATCATGAGCAAGGGGAGGGGCATAGGGAGAAGCAGACTCCCCGCTGAGTGGGAAGTCCAACACAGGGGTTTGATCCCAGAAACCTCAGATCATGACCTGAGCCGAAGGCAGATGCTTAACCAACTGAGCCACCCAGGCACGCTGGAAAGAAAACAGTTTTAAATCAAATATCTAAACTTCCACCATAAGAAACTAGAAAGGGAAGAGCAACTTAAATCAAAATGGAAGGAAAGAAATAATCAGAAATCAATAAATAAATGGACAAACAATAGAGAAAACAAAACCAAAACCTGATTCATTTAAAAATACAACTGAGAAATCTTTATCTTACACTGAACAAGAAAATAGAGGACAAAATCACCAGTATTAGGTATGAACAATTCTACATATACTAAAAAGATAATGTGGGAACTTATGAATAACTTCAAGCTAATAAACTCATCAAATTAGATAAAAGGAAAAGATTCCCTGAAAATCAGAACAATTAAAGTTCACTCAAGAAGAAATACTTTAAGGATCTCAATTTATATATATATTAAGATCTCAATTTATATTAAAGATACTGAAGTTGTGGTTATAAACCTTCCTTCAAAAAAATAAGTTCCAGACATCTTTATCAGTGAATTCTACCAAATATTTAAGGAAGGAATAAAACCAATCCTACACAAAAAAGTAAAGAAGAGAAAATTTTCCTATTTATTTTATGAAACTAGTCTTACCCTAATACCAACACTAAAAAAAGAAACTAAAAGGATAGAAAGCTGCAGACCAATACGCCTTGTGAATGCAGACACAAAATCATTAAAATTTTAATAAATCAGATCCAGTTAAATATTAAGAAAGAACATACGATGACCAAGTGGGGTTTATCCCAGAATTGTAAGATTGATTCAACAACGCAAAAATCAGTAAATGTAATTCACCATAGTAACAGACTAAAAAGGAGCAGCTATATGATCAACCAGCTCAACAGATATAGGAAAACATTTGACAGATTTCAAAACCCATTTATGATTAAAAAAAAAAAAAATCAAACCAACTCTCAGCAAACTAGAAAAAGAAGGAAATAGTCCCAATGTGATAGAGGAAATCCACCAAAGGTGTAAAGTTAGCACCAATCTCAAAAATTTAAAACTGAATTATTTTCCCCTGCAACTGGGAGGAAGTCAATAGGACTCCTCTTGCCATTTCTATTCAAAGAGAGTTCCTAGACAATGATATAAAGCAAGAAACCAAAATAAAAGCCATGTAGTTTGGAAAGGAAGAAATGGCTCTGTGGTTGTTCATGTAGAAAATCCTAAGGAAACTGCCAAAAAGTAACTACAGTTAAGAAGTCAATCTGATAAGGTCACAGGATACGAGGCCAACATACAAAATTAATTGTATCTCTAGAGGCTAGCAACAGACAGTTGGAAATTGAAGATTTTTAAATAATATCATTTATGGTGGCATCACAAAGCATGAAATACTTATGGATAAATTTAGCAAAATATGTGATGGTATGTACATGGAAAATTCCAAGACTTTGCTGAGATAAATTAATGAAGATTGAAGTAAATGATAAGACATACTTTGTTCATTGTTCAATTGGCTCAATATTGCTAAGATATCAATTCTCCCTAAATTGATCTATCAGTTCAATGCAATTCCAGTCAAAAGTCCAGCAGGATCTTTTTTGTAGAAATTTACATACAGATGCAAAAACCTAGAACAGTCAAAACAATTTTGGGGAAGAACAATCTTAATGTAAAGCTAAAATAATCAAGACAGTGCGGTGTTAGCATAAGGATAGACATAGAGATCTATGAAACTGGTTCAAGAGTCTAGAAATAAGCCCACACATAAATGATCATTTCGCTTTCAATAAAGGTGACAAAATATCAACCGTGGAAAGATGGTCTTTTTAACAAATAGTTGAAATCAATTTGGAAAAGACAGTCTCTTCAGCAAGTGATTCTTTCATGTGACAAAAAAAAAAAAAGGAGCCTCAACTTTTATCTCATATTACATAAGAAAATTACCTCAAAATGTGTTCTCAACTTAAATGGAAAGTCAAAACCATAAAACTTCTAGGACAAAACAGAAGAAAAATCTTTGTGATTTGGGACTAGACAAAATGTCTTAGGATATAAGGCACAAACCATGAACTAAAAATAATAAATTGGAGATACCGAAATTTAAAACTTTTGCTCCTCAAAATAACATTGTTAAGAAAGTGAAAAGGCAAGCCACATATTGAGAGAAAATATTTGCAAAATCTGATAAGGACTCATATCCAGAATTTGTAAAGAATTCACAAAATAATAACAGGGCAAGCAATCTGATTTTTTAAATGGGTCAAATATTTGAACAGACATTTCACCAAAGGAAATGCACTAATCACAAATAAGAACATGAAGGGAAAGAAAAAGCTCCTCATCATTGATCATTAGGGAAATGCGAATAAAACCACAGCTGGCTACCACCATACACCCTCCATGATGACTCAGTTGTTTTAAACAGGCAAAAGCAAATGTTGATGAAGATAGACTCTCATACACGGAGGATAGAAATGCAAAATGGGGGCGCCTGGGTGACTCAGTTGTTAAGCGTCTGCCTTCGGCTCAGGTCATGATCCCAGGGTCCTGGGATCGAGCCCCGCATCGGGCTCTCTGCTCCGCGGGAAGCCTGCTTCTCCCTCTCCCACTCCCCCTGCTTGTGTTCCCTCTCTCGCTGTGTCTCTCTCTGTCAAATAAGTAAATAAAATCTTAAAAATAAATAAATAAATAATTTTAAAAATTAAAAAAAAGAAATGCAAAATGGTACAGCCACTTTGGAAAACATTTGGTTTCTCATGAAGTTAAATATACACTTACCATCTAACCCCACAATTCCATTTCTAGATATTAACCCAGGAGAAATGAAAAGGTACATCCTGTGAAGACATGAACGTC